AGGCTCTCTACTGTTACTTTGTTTAATTTTGAATAAGAATGATCAAAATACAACCCATGTAGTTCCATTGAAAAAGGACAAGACAATTTTTTATATTTAAAAAATATCATTTATATTTGGGGTGATGCTAAAAAGTTTCATTTTTGGGGTGATTCCAAAATATAGTTCCTAGAGTTTCATTTTTTTATTTACTTAACCGCATTGCGTGATTTACAAAGTTTGCAAAAATTCCAAGACCAAACTATAATCTTGGGAGAAATGTGTAATCGTGATCATCCATCAATTCCAAACCAAAATTTCTAGAAATTCATTTTGAATTGGGAGTTGTTCCAAGATGTTTATCGGATAGGGGTTGAAAAATTATGCATGCCCTTCATGCCACTTTTTTATCAGGCCTGGCATTTTCCCAAAAGAAAGAAAGATAAGTTTAATATTTCTTTGATCCTTATTCTTGATCTGGGGTGTTGCATGAGGTGGAGCGGAACGTAAACTCCTCATGTTTCTGGAAATCTGGTCATCATTATTTCTTGGTAAGATTTTTCCTCATTGTGCATTTTAAATAGCATGATAATCTCAATGGAATTTTTTGCTAGTAATAATCTTAATGGTTATAAACCGGACAATTTAATTCCTTGTTATTCCCACATCTAGATAATTGATTTCCAGGATGGAGCAATTTAGGCAGATTGGGGAGGCATTAGGGAGCATCAAGGCATTGATGATTTTCCAAGATTGCATACAAATGAATCAGAGGCAATGTTATTTGTTAGTAGACATGCTTAATTCCGCATACAACAATACAGCAGAGTTGATGAAACATAATCTGAGATATGAAGATAAGAGTTTCAAGTGGAAAGTCATTGAAACCCCATTGAGAGAGCTCCTCCGAGTATTCAAAGAAGGTGAATTGTACGTAAGATATTGTTTGGAGACGAAAGATTTTTGGGCAAAAGCCATAACACTTTACCAGAATACTGATTGTGTAGAACTCCACATCCACAACCTTCTCAGTTGCATCTCCGTTGTAATTGAGGCCATTGAGATGGCAGGAGAAGTGTCCGGTTTAGACAATGAAGAGATTCAAAAGAAGAGAGCTATTTACGCATTGAAGTATCTCAAGGAATGTAAAGATCAAAGAATTTTTAATTGGAGATTTGGGACTCAGTACCTTGTTTCTCCAGATTTCTGCAACCGGATAAAGTCAGTTTGGAACGAGGATAGATGGATCCTAGAAAAAAAAATCGAAGAGAAGAAAATATCATCAAAGCAAGACCAGAGACTTGCTGATCTCCTCATGAGGAACTTAAATGCTCCCCCAAACTCATTGTTACTTGATAGACTATTACCTTGCTCAATTTTAGTCGGGTCCAAAGACTACCATGTTAGACGTCGGTTGGAAATGGATAACCAATACAAGGAAGTTCAATGGTTGGGTGAAAGCTTTTGTTTGAGACACTTTTTTGGTGACATCGACCCGCTCATCTCAGACATTTCTTATGAACTAACTCTCTCACACCCGAACATAATGCACATACTTTGCGCTTTCACGGATGAAGAGAAGAAAGAGTGTTTCCTTATCATGGATCTCATGAATAAGGATCTATCCAGTTACATTAAAGAAATTTGTGGTCCAAAGAAGCGAGTCCCGTTCTCTCTCCCCACAGCAGTTGATCTGATGCTTCAGGTTGCTAGGGGTATGGAATATCTCCACTCTATGAAGATTCATCACGGGAACTTGAATCCATTTAATGTCTTTGTCAAAGCTAGAAGTACGTCTACAGAAGGTTACTTGCATGCCAAGGTTTCTGGATTTGGTGCTAGTCACACCCGGAAAATGCATGTTAATCAACAAAACTCACCTAGTTATATATGGCACGCGCCAGAAGTATTAGCTGAACCAAAAGAGTATTCAGAGAAGTCAGATGTCTATAGTTTTGGGATGATTTGCTTTGAGGTGTTGACGGGGAAAGTCCCATTTGAGGATGGACATCTCCAAGGAGAGAAAATGAGCCGAAATATAAGGGTGGGTGAGAGGCCTCTATTTCCATTTCCTTTGCCAAAGTATATGACAAGCTTAACTAAGAAGTGTTGGCATGATGATCCAAACCAACGACCAGGATTCTCATCTATCTGTAGGATTCTTCGCTATATAAAACGATTTATAGTTCTGAATCCAGAACACACACATCCAGATTCACCAATGCCACTACTGTTAGACTATGGGGACACTTTCTTTACAAATAAAAAACCACAAATTCCCTTGTATGTGACACATATTCCTTTTCAAATGTTTGTGTATAAAGTGGCAGAGAGCGAAAAAGCAACAACAATTCAAAGGGAGAATAATTCCGAGTCCGAAAGTGATAATGCTTCAGCGTGTGGAGATGAAATTGTGATTGCAGATGAACCACCCCCATCACCTATAGAAAGAAAGTCACTCGGTTCTCCAAGTGTTTTGAGCAAAAAACTTTCGACATCAAAGAGATCTTTAGACATCAAATCAATCAAACAACCCGGTAAGTTTAGAAAACCAACTACATCAAGTGAAGATTTTATAATTTATCTTTTTGTTGTCCAATTGTGAAGTGTCATGATATTCTTCTTACTTCGCCATTAGAATTCCTAAATAGAATATAGATCTAAGGAATCTTATAAGGACTATCATCTTGAAAACATTGACCCTTCTATCCTTGAGTCTACTCCTTTTAATGTTGGGCAGTTATGATCAAGATTGACCAATATTTACTATGCTTAGTGTATGTTGTTTCCATTTTATTTAATCAACAGAAATTATAACATTAGCATATATTCCATCGCATCACATATATTTATGTCCAAATAAGTATACTAGATTTTAAAACAAGTGCCCCTAATAGAGTCTATACTTTTTGTATTCATTCAAACTATGTCGTAGGGAAATGTGGCAAACATGGGAAAACACAAAATGGGAAACACCATCTGTTAATATAAAAACATGTGTTTGGAGAGTTTTTAAATAGTTTATGTATGAAAATTTAAATTTTCCCAGAAGTTTATGTGCTTTATAACATTACACTATTTGCATGTCTACTGTCTACATGGTTTTAGAATTAACATTATGCCTATTGTTTGAACATTACAGGAACACCGAGAGGACGGTCCGTAGCTCCGGTCATGCTTCCAAGTAGACACGGACGTCCTAAGAGGATGAGCTCTGAAAGTCAATTGGTGATTATGAGCCCAAGAGAGCGGAGGATGTCTGGGCACATGTCAGATTCTGAGCTCCCATAACCTTGTAAAATTGCTACTTGCAGTGTTGCAACATATCGATCCGATCTGTTTCAACAAGTCGCTAGCTCAAAAAAATACATACTAATTGGCCATGTTTATAGCTTAGCAACAAGACATTATAGGGCTCCATAAAATTAGGGCTTGTTTAGGCTAGAGGTTAACATAACCCTATTTTTGTTATTTTGGCATTTCAGCTAGCTCAAATTCAATTATTTGTAATTTCAGATAGAGGACATTTGTAACTCTTTGTCTTGAGTAGAAAATCTGAAACTCATAGTGCAGACGAGGTTATGCAACCTCATAGGATCCAAACAAAGCTCGCACTTCTATACAAGTGCAATGTTTATAATTTTTTAAAGCTCAGGATGTAGAGATGAGAAAACAAAGAATTTCTTTTTTCAGAATTTCAAGGTTGTTACCTCTCTTCCAATAAAATGATGTCTTTTTAATGACTTTGTGTCTATTCATGAAAGTAACATGTTTAAGAAAAGATTTTATTCAGTAAGTGAGCTGATCAGTTTCACATTTTTGTTAATTCTCGTCATTTCTGCAAAAATTTGGAGCATACATTATAACTTTTCACAGTAAATCAATGAATCAGAAGTGCAACTGTGCTAAAGCATATATGACAACCACTTGATCGAATCAAGGCTTCCTATGACATACAAAAAAGTTCCAACACCCTAAACCTGAAATGAGTAATATCTACATAAATAGACATGCATGTATTTTGGATCACACTAAAAATAAGTCACTGCAGTTCAAAATTCCATAGATTTATTAAAATGAGGTGTTCACTTTTTATATGATGTAATACACATAGTAGCCTGCACTACATAAAATGCCTGCAAAATCCATAATACGAAAATGAAGGCATTGTTTAGAGAAAGGTAGATAATCTAAATTGGCATTTTGTTGAAGCTTCACCATATGCCTAAAATTATAAATATTTGAATGATTGGATCATGCTTGTAATACCTAAGTTTCTAGAAGTCTCATAGAGAGTGATCAATTGACCAAAGCACTTGATCAATTGACCACTGCAAGAGTGCTATGTTGGGTCCACTTCCGACTTGGGTCAGGTCAAAGTGGTTTCAGATTCCTCTTGTTAAGGACTTTGATTCGATATATGGTACGCTCAAAACAGATAACAGGTGAATAGAATTGATTCTGAAAGTTCACTCGTTGAAACGGAGAAAACTAGAAAATGATGAGTTTCTAATGTGATTTATCATACACCGGAAAACCCAAATGATTTTCACCCCTTTATAAAGGTTACACTCTTTGAAGGAGTTAAGTTTTCTAGGTGGAAAGACTCTCTTCGCGCGCAGGGGGTGCCGATCAAATCTCGAAAAGGAGAAGAAAAACTGCGACTTGCATGCGCGGGCGACCTGCATCAAGTGAAGATTTTTTATAATTTCTTATTTGATGTCCAATTGTAAAGTGTCATGATATTTTTCTTACTTCACCATTACAATTCCTAAATACAATTCCTAAATAGAATATAGAACTAAGGAATCTTATAAGGGCTATCATCTTGAAAACATTGACTCTTCTATCCTTGAGTCTACTCCTTTTAATGTTGGGCGGTTATGATCAAGATTGACCAATAGTCAGAGAAGAAAAACTTTAACTTTGTACACATTTTTTGCACACCCCCAAGTTGTGAAACTGTTGTGTACAAAGGCAACTAACCAACTAGACAATGCCTATAAAAAAAATGTAGAAGTACGGTAATGAACTGGTCTTTCTCCTGTTGAATGACAATTTTTCGTTCTTCACTACTTAACAGCAGACTCTCTTGACTTTTTATTTTATTTGAGACAACTATGTCTTCTTCCTCCTGTCCTCCACAGACAGACAAGGCTTTCACACGTTATTAATCAAATCTACGGATGATATATCCTCAGCTTCTTTTCTCAAGCTATGCATTTTATTGATTTTGACTACGTGTGAATGGTTTGAATATGTGATGTGGTTGTTAATTATCTATGCACTTCTTTAAGACTCGTTCTCAAAATTGTTTTGAGCTTCTTTGAAAATGTCCGAGCCACCAAAAGTTCGTCTTGTTCGATGCCCCAATTGCGAAAATTTGCTTCCAGAGGTCACTGATTTCTCTGTTTACCAGTGTGGCGGATGTGGCGCTATTTTACGAGGTAACTTAATATAAACCTTTCTCGATTCAGTTTCTCTTATCATATATTCCCTGTGAGTTTATCTTTTCGCGTTAAATCTACAGCTAAGAATGAAAATGGGGGCTTCGAGACATTTTCTGACAAGTCTGGTAAAGAGGGAGAATTAGGGATTTCGTCGAAGTTTGAGAAAGTGGAGAACATTGGTGATACTTTTGAGGTTGACGTTAAGTCAAATGCAGGTAGTTCTTCTGCCTTATCTGAGAGGAGAGGGATTAGTCGTGATAGAGTTGAGAATTACAGGTCTGATCTGAAAGCTAAGTGTGATAAATGGACGGTCAGGGATGATGAACACCTTCAGAACGTAATTTCTGAATGTAAAAGTGAAAATGGGTCGCAAAGACCAGTCCGTCCCCAGAGTGGCCGAAGAATTGATACAGATGCCTCATCCAGTTGCCAGTTAGGGTCTGATTATGGTTATCAACTTCCCCCGAGGAGTGGGGACAGAATTGGTAGTTCAAAAGGTGAATACGGTGACGATGATAAAGCTGACTTATTGAGGAAGCTAGATGCCCTGAAGGAGCAGTTGAGTAGATCTTGTGAAGTTACTGATAATCCCAGGGGTAAGTTCCCTCTTGATAGGAAGACAATGAATCAGGATCCTTATGGTGATTCCCGCGATCGGTTTAGTGGTTCAATGCAATATCCCTTCATGAATAGACACGAATTTCCTCCCGGCAGTGGGTTTTATCCACAAAATTTTGGTTTTCAACCTTACGGTCCACCTTTAAATCCTCACCATCCATCCTGTTCTTGTCTCCATTGCTACAACACAAACCAAAACCCCATTCAGTTTCCTCCAACCACATTTGGCGATAACAGGTTCTATAATTTCCCGAGATCTGGCCCGCAGAATTATGACCCTAGAATTCCATTTCCTCCTCCTATTAGGACACGAACCCTTAAACCAAGCGGACATAAATGCCTCCCTGTAGCCGGCGGTGCACCATTCTTGGTCTGCCACAATTGTTTGGAGTTGCTTCATTTGGCTAATAAGAGAGCTTTTCCAAGTGATAGGAAACAAATGAAAGTGAAATGTGGGGCATGCTCTAGTGTTATGGTGTTTGCAGTTGCTAACAACAAACTTGTCTCTGTTAATGCACTACTCAAGAAAAACAGTGAGGTGATGTCTGTGTCATCAGATGATCATATGACGCGAACCCACATTAACCGCCCCACCACGGTTTTTTCTTCTGAAGATTTTGACAAATCAGGATATGATTTCCATGCAATCGATCAAGATCAACTGCAGGGTAGGAGTAGGAACCATTCGAAATCTTCTTCGATGAATGCAGAAGATAGCAGCTCAGCCAAGAAGGAGAAAGTGTCGACACCACCGCCTGTTGGGTCACCATTGCAGGACCATTTTGATTATTCAACCAAGTATGGCGGACTTGAGAATGGAAACACAAGCGGGTCCTCAAAGAAGGCTGCTTCACGTCAAACTTCCATGAAGGACATACATGTGGCTACTGAGATAGATATACCATCCACTGAGTATGCTAACACTGGTTCATCTTTAGAATCTGGCGAATCAATCACGGGGGACCAGATAAGTTCCAACAAAACAAGTGGCTCATTTTTTGCCATTGCAAAGAAAAGTTTCAAGTCCAATAAGCAGGTGGCGGACAGTGATAAAAGGGGTGATGTTACAATCAATGGGCATCTTATACTGGATGAGTTTATCAAGAAAGCTGAAAAGGTGGCTGGAAAAATAAACCCTGGACATTACTGGTAAGTTACTTCATTAATCACCCCGTGTTTCTGGTAGATTTGTGTCCTGTTAAAATAATGCTTTAGGACGAGTTGCATAGGCATACTGCTACCCTGCTAACCAATTTATTGATATACACCTTATATGAGAATTTGGTATGTTTTTATAGGCTTAGAAAAGATCTTGTAGGTTTTGAAGAGCCATTTAGGAAAACCATATAAAATGTAATCAGCATACAAAAAGCACATGTATTAGTTTTTATATGCAAAGTGGGCCTTATAGTGTGTGCTTCTAGGTTATGGCAGCATTTGCTTGTGCGTGTGAGAAGTGATTTTATTTTAGAGTTTATAGAGACATTAAATAATCATAGAAGTTGCTAGTGTATGGAAATAAATCATTTAAAAAGAGAAGTTGGAGTGCATAGTAAAGTTGAAGCACCAACTCAAGAATGATTTTTGAGCTATTTTGAATAAAAAGCACAAAAGTGCTTCCCAATAGCAACAGGCAACAACAAACGCTCCCTTCATATATTGTGGGCGGAAGAGAATCAGAGATACTCTTGCATGAAAATATATAAGGAAAAGCAAATCACTAATCTTCACATTTTCTCTAGTAATAGCAATACATAGCACGCCTGGCAGCCAAAACTTTATGCAGGAAACTATTGGATTTTCCTATCAGTTTCCGCAAATTGGAAAGATAATGGTCCCTCTGGAACCTGGAAAATGCTAGAAAAAGATAAAATAGATTGGGAATTTGAAAGGAAAGGAAAAACATAGTGAAAATAAAAGTTTGGTTCAAACTCAATAGATCCATTTTGGAAAAAGTTGTTATATGATTTAAGTAACTTTATTTATGTATTTCTAAAAAATTAAAAAGTTTAATCAATTTTGATTTTTCTTGCTCTCTTCTAACTTTCTAAGTTCAAAACCATCTTTTTTAGTAAAAAACTAGTTTCATTATATATGTTTTTCTTTTCTGAACCATTTTCCATATTCCAAACATAGCCAAAGGTTATGATAAAGCTTCATAACAAAAAACTCAGTGCGCAGTTTGTGTTTGCCAAATTTAAACAAAAAGGAAGAACAATTGAAGTTCTAATGGATATCTTGCTCAAATATTATATTATGGTGCAGGTATGACTTCCGGGCTGGATTTTGGGGAGTGATGGGAGGTCCTTGCCTGGGCATAATTCCGGTAAGATTGGCTATTCAAAGGGTGGCATGGCATGTAGTATTATAGTGTATCCGTCACATTGTAATACTTAAATAATCCTATCTCCTTTCAGCCATATATTGAAGAGTTTAACTATCCCATGCCTGAAAACTGTGCTGGTGGGAACACGGGTGTCTTTGTCAATGGGAGAGAGCTTCATAACAAAGATATGCAATTACTATGCAGCAGAGGCCTTCCGCCTCAAAATGAAAAATCCTATATCATTGAAATTTCTGGCAGAGTGCTTGATGAGGATACTGGTAAAGAGCTTGAGAGCCTCGGCAAGCTGGCCCCAACGTAAGTAAAACTATTTTCTAATATTCTTTTTTACCCCTATTTTGTGAAATAGCTTGCACATTTGTATCCATTTTCACCTCAAGCTAACATCATTTCTCGATAAAAAATGAGCTCCAATCGTCAACTAATGTTTTGGAAACTTTTTTGTGATGACTAACTGAAAGAATTTAGGATTGGGTTGAGGTCACAAAGTTATACTTGAACCATCCTATTAATTAGTTTCCCTTTGTCTATTATGGAAATAGAGAACATTTAAGAGGGAAAGTATAAGTTACATTCAAAGAAACACACACACACATGTGTGTGTGTGTGTGAATGAGTTTAATCATATATTATTTTCAATCCTATGCGCCAAGGTAAAACCAAACATAAGAAATAAATTTCTTTGGGGGGGGGGGGGGGGAATACATAGTGTAGAATATAATGTTTTCTTTAAATGAATTAAAGATTATTTAAATGTTACGTAGTATAATGATTATTTGTTATCCCTGTAATCTATTTATTTTAATCTTGAATACTCCCTCCGTCCCATAAAATTCTTCCCACTTTCCTTTTTGGGCCGTCCCAAAAAATTCTTTCCACTTACCATTTTTGGATAATTTGTGTGGTTCACATTCATTTCACCTTTTTCTTACACAACTACAACCATACATTTCCACTTTATTCCACTTTCTTAATATGCGTGCCAAGTCAAACTGGGAAGAATTTTCTGGGACGGAGGGAGTATATATGAAGATATAGACTTAATCCTTCAAAACCCTCCATCCAAACTGACCTTTAGTGTTCTTCTCCTTTTTCCCTGATACTTTTTGGGATCCATGAAGTTTCTCTGAAATATTTTGTACCGACAAAAGTTCATGCTTCAAACATTAACTTGATCTCTTTAAACACTTGTACAGAGTTGAGAGAATGAAATGTGGATTCGGGATGAAAGTTCCGAAAAGGGCAGCATGATTATGAGTATCCAGAAGCAACACAGATGCAGAGATGCTTCATTCCTCAGCAACACCATGACCCACTAAGCCACTGATATTGGTTGCAGGTCTGGATTCTGGACTCTGGAGTGTTTAGGATGGAATTTATATGAACTTGTTGTATGTATGTCTAAGAATGCAGTAGCATACTTTCAAAAGAAATGCAGTAGCATGTGTTAACCATCATACCTAATACTTAGTAATAGTTATTTATACTTCGTATATTAATGTTAGCCAGGGTTTGGTGGTCTTTTTCTATCATATGCTTATAGGAGGTATGCATTATGCACATTCATTGTACTTCTAGAAAATCTATTTTCAGTTCATCAGATACTCTATCTTGTACAATAAGGTGTGCTTCCATTAATTACTATTATTTGCAAAATGATCTTCATTGTAGTTGTAGTATACTTCGTATATAATATACGGAGTGTTACGGAGTAACATTAATATATAGTGTAGATTCATGCTCTTACTCTCTGAGATGGATATAACCCAATGTGATGTTCTGTAAAAAGTGAAAGGACTGAAAAATACCCGTAAAAAGTAGGGCAATCAAACAACCCCGCTTAATGAAGAAACTGAAAACAACCCTGTGATTCTGTAAATAAGCGGTTTAGACGACATTGTCTATATCGTTTGATGTAATTATTAGTTTTATGTCTTTAACTAATGATTGGAATATATTTTTCAATTCTCTAAACCCTTCCTTGAAATATGTCTATCACTTTGGGTTTGTATATTTACTTGTAACTTAATGAGCTTAAATGAGAGTGACTTAATTGTTCGGTCATGAGGTTGTATTTACCTATTGCTTAATTGAAATTGGTAATTATTCATTTAAGGATGTTTTAATTGGATTGATTTCAATCCCAATACTAGACTTAGATCAGTCAGATCTAATCAGATTTTCAGAGTTGTAAACCCACCACTCTTTCCCATTAAAATGCCACATCTATTCAACTATTCAAGTGGTGATTCAAATTCATTATGTAGTACTCCCTCCGTCCCGGAATTATCTTCATACTTTCCTTTTCGGTCTGTCCCAAATTTATCTCCCCTTTCCATTTTTAGTAAAGAATTTGTGGTTCACAACCATTCTTACACATTCTTACACATTTCTCTTTTCTCTGCACAACTCTCCACCACACATTTCCCACTATCTTAATCTGTGTGCCATTTGTACTTCAGGAGATAAATATGGGACGGAGGGAGTATATAGTAAATGTCTTTGTAGCAAGTAAGGTCCCAATAACTAACATTACTTATTGACAATTAAAAAATAATCTGAAATTGATTATTTTACCAAACGAAGACTATTTAATTATTGGGAGAACTATCAAATAAGCCCTCGAACTTTCATAAAAAGTGCAAATAAGCTCTTTTATAGGAGGCTTTGTCCTGCTGTTGCCATTTGGGGCGGTTTCCGGTGGAAAACTTTGATGAAATTTTTTGAGCGTCTTCTTCATTAAGTCTAGTTTACCCATACCGAATTTTAGCTAAAAATTCAATCGAGAAGGCAGTCAAATGATTTTCTGAAATATACTGCGCTGCCTAATTGCGTAGTTATCTTCAAAAATTCATTTGACTACCTTCCCGATTGAATTTTTATCTGAAATTTGGTATGAGTAAACTAGACTTAATGAAGAAAATGTTAAACAATTTCATCAAAAAAATTCACCGGAAACCGCTCCAAATGGCGACGGCCGGACAGAGCCTCCTATAAAAGGGCTTATTTGCACTTTTTATGAAAGTTCGATGGCTTATTTGATAGTTCTTCCTTAATTATTTGATATATAACATTAACAAGCTTATGTATAAGGTATTTAAAGATCATCAATTAATTCAGCCTGACATGTTAATATAGATAGGTATCTTTGACATAACATGCATTATTTAGGTGACTAGGCCATTGGTTCAATCTAAGTCCTCGTTGTTGACATAAGTGTACATATACAAATATAGAATAGTCACAATTTATATCTCTACCAGATCGGACAGAAGGATCACCTAAGACTTAAGAGCAGTGGCGGATCCAGGAAAAAAGTTTATTGGGGGCAAATGGAGTAAGTAAAAACATGTATGGAGAATAAAAGTTAGTAAAGTACTATGGTACACAATATTATAAGAATAACATTTTTTTTTATAAAAGACATCACAATTTTGATTTTTTGGAAGAGAATCATTAGGTATTATTTGAGATAATTTTTCATAAAATATTACTCAAATATAATTGATGAACAAAAAAGTAATTACTATATGCATCACTTCATGACCAATAAAATGTAAAATTGAATATAAACATAATCATTGAAAGTTACTATCTTAGTCATGCTATACAAGAAGTCACATTTTCTAATCATTTTTATTTTAGTCATATATATCTATTTTTTTTGTTTTAACTATCCAAATTCCCAAAATACTTAGTCATCTCTTCCATTTTGGACATGATTTTGATTAGTAAAAATGTACTATCATATAATTCTAGGGAAGTCATAAGTTTTATACTTTTATGAAAGTACTTTTAACAAAAGAACATTTTCATATCACTTTTATACGAAGTATTATAAACAATTTTTAATAAAAATATAAAGTTAGTCAAAGTTTTAAAGTTGACTATTTTTTTGGGAATTACTAGTCATCAATTTGAGTACATGAATAATGAACTCAAATTTACATTAATAGCAATAAAAAATCTGGCAGAGCTGAAACTTTGAGTATTAGTAACATGATATTAGTTCATCAAGATGCATGCCACCATTAACTAAAAATTAACATGGAGTAACATTATAACACCATTATTTATATATTTTACATAAAAACAAATATTAGACATTAAACAACATGTAAGTGAGGGTGAATGCGTAGCGTGAAATCATACTTTCACATTCAGCCATATTTTTAATCGGGGAGAAGGGAATAGAGGGCAACCATACTTTTTAATAATTTATCACAAAATAATGGGATTAGTGGGAGTTTGTTGGGGGCAGCTGCCCCCCTTCCTCTCTTACTGTATCCGCCCCTGCTTAAGAGTGGCGTTTTTCTTTTGGAAAACAATAATGCAACTACTAACCTATAACGTATTGCTATAATTAAGAGTATATAATAATAATAATGTAATATTGTAGACAAAAACTAAGCAGGTTGGCAATTAAATACGTTATGAAGTATGGAGTAGTATTTAAATAAGTTTATTATATATGCAGGAACTGAGCCAAATAGGCAAAAACATGCACTAGAAAGCATTTTTTTACTCCCTCGGTCCCATATTTAACTCCGGTTTTGACCGGACACGAGATTTAAGATAGTGAGATTTGTGTGGTGGAGAGTTATGCAGAGGAGAGAGAAATGTGTAAGAATGATTGTGAACCACATATTCTTTACCAAATAGGGAAAAATGAGATAAATTTGGGATGAACCGAAAAGAAAAGTATGAAGATAATTCCGGGACGGAGGGAGTATATAATAAGAGTATTTTATATGGAGTATTTATGTAAGCTATTGGTTCAATCTGAGTCTACGGTGATGCACAAGAGGACAAAGAAAAATAAACCAAATGAAGCATATCCTTTTCATTATTATAGGGTCCATCAGGTTGTTGATACATTTACGTCAAGAAGAAGTTAAATGTAGTGAATAAAAAGAACTTATCAACAATTACGTAGTCGGTAATACCTTTCAAAGAAAAAAACAATATGTAAGAAAAATAGTACAAATAACTAAAACGTGCGGAGTATATTTTATAAGTAATTGGGTCTGAAGTTTACATGATCTAGGGGTGGGTCCGGGACGGTCCGAGATTTGGCTTATCCCGATCCCGATACATTTTGTAACGGGTTATGTCACTTGGGATTTTGCATCATTGCTTTCACGGATCGGAGACAGTTCTCGAATATGTGTCTTTGAAACGATCGATTTATTTGGTGTATACTCATCTATGTGTACACACAATTGTTGACTTTTTCAATTCTAAAGGAGGTGTTTGTTTATATAGGCAACGGAAAAAATGTAGTCAAAAAGTTTACATTTTTTGTGTATACCTAGTTTTTTCCATAGGAGAAGCTTTAAAAACATTCTTGGCGCACATGTTATTTGTACACACTTTTGTGAGTTTGTCTATGTCACATATAATTTTTATTTTTTTTGAAATGAATTGTTTTTTTCTTTGGCAATTCTTTCTAACATATATAGACTATAGTATCTGTTTTGTTAAAGCCAAAATCCTTGAAATGGGTGAGATTTGAACCCGTGACTTCCTCTTTAGAAGTGTCACAGTGATTTCATTAGACCACAAAGTACTTGGCTGAAATGAATCGTTATTGATAGTGAATTACTGATAAAATGTATACGTCGTATATAAATGAGATTTTCAATAAAAACTAGTGTAAAGTGTAAAAAATCACCAAAATGATTATGCAATCACACAAAATGTAAGTAACTGCCGCCGCCACTTGGTGATGGACCTCACCGCTAAGGGAGTGTTTGGGTAGTAACATCTTATCCAAAAAACTGAAAAGCAGTGTCTTCACCTCAAGACGCTAAGAACAAACGGGGCTTTCTGTTATAGTTCGTTTGAGTTTGAAGTCACATTTTTTGTCAATGTCTTCCACTTTGTCTACTTTAGATTTTTTTTGACAGGAACCTCACCAACTTGCATTAAATCAAACTGACATTAGCCAAAAGGCTAAAAATACAATCAAGAGGAACATTGTAAACTATGAAACCATCCGGCTGAACAGAATAGCTCTTGCCAATATATGAGCTACTCTCTTCGCGGATCTTTTACAACGATTGACCAAAATGCTAGCTCCAATACGAAGAGTATGTCTAATATCATCTAAGATTACATCAAAATATGATTCTCCTTCTTTGTTTTGAATTCCAGCCACCACTTGTAGCGAATCGGATTCCACCTATACTTGTATCCATCCTTGGTTCTTTACCCATCCTAGCACTTCCCGAACTCCCATTGCTGCAGTCACATTTGCTGCCCAGTTTTCCATCACTGTGCGGCTTCCGCCCCCTACAAAGCTTCCTTCCTCATCCCGTGCCACCCAGGCCCAAGCTCGCTTACTCCGGCCCAATTTAGCCCGCATATATGAAGAGTTAGGATAATAACATGCTTGAAGTATTCTTCCCACAAGTGAATTTGCCTGTGTAATCAGTCACCGAGTTTGTTTACCCAACATTGCCACATTAAAATCCCAGACAGATCTAAATCCCAACATTGTCTACTTTAGATTTTTGACTAATATTTTTTGTTTATTTGTGGTCGTTCCGTTCAATATTCCAATGTTTCTCCACAATTTTAACTATCGGAAATATTGACGGAAGGATCATATATGGGTGAAAAATAATAGTCACGTACAAAATGGTCATAGTCAAAGA